TCCAACTGAAGTGGTAGAGGTTAACACAGTAAAGGAGTTTAAGCATGCGTGGGATAGGCATAAGGCTATCCTAACTATAAGATAAGACTAGGGACTAATGAAAGTATTTAGAAAATTGGGCAGACTAGATGGGCCGAATGGTTCTTATCTGCCGTCACATTCTATGTTTCTATGTTTTAGGAGTTAGGAAATATTTTTGCAAATATTAGAAAATTATATTTTTTATTTTATTACTTTACAGTATCCCTTTAATAAGTCATATTTAAAGATAATAACCCAAATTAACTCAATTTTATTTACACAACACATTTCAATGCTCACATATTATGTTATTCTCCTCTCTGAACTAATCTGGAGGAAAAAAGACGTCCAATAAACTACGACAAATTCTTATGGTTCTGTATATTCTGTATTACACGCTTATGGACTGCAGAAATACAAGAACTGTCTCCATCAGTGTCATATGAGTGGCAGTAAATATGTCTTTTATCAGCAAGGAAACATTTGTAATAGGCTCTGTAGCGAAGTAAGTTCCATTAGGCAAGACAATTTAGACAGCAAATTCTCAAGAATGAAAATATGATCAGGACTCGATGGCATCATTTGCTGCACTACAGCAGACTGTGTGACATGCTCCATGCATCCCAAATAACACTTACCAGCCTTTGCCTCCATTTGTTCTGCTAATTACTGGCTTTCTGAGGGACAGGTAGGCTGGAGTGAAAAGCCGGAATTGAAGAATACTTTTGACTGGCTGTCCCTAACAGCATTAATATTATTGAGTGATCTGTACGGCTTTTTATTCTCTGTAAGTAGTTTGGTTTTTCATGCAGCTCATTTTGAAATGATTGATTCCAAAGCTGTAATTGTTAGCAGGCTATGGAAGGAGATGATACGAGCCAGATGGTTAGCTTGATGAAATTGATTCAAATGTTGCTCAAAAATTGGGCAAATGCATGGATTCTGCTTGATTGGCAGCTTCTCACGATGCCCTGGGATACTTGTTAGACTGGGCATTGCTGTTGCTGAAATAATTGTACAATATATATAATTTCTCAGATATGGAACACCATCTACATTCCTGTTTATTTGCATAAATGTAATACAATCTGTGAATTTGCTCAAGATGCCTGTCTAGAATAATTCACTAAGAGCTAACTCTATTCAGAAAGCTCTTTTTCCACCAGACAGACCTCTGACAATGGCTTCACACTGCATTCATCAACGCCTTGCAATGGCAATCCTATTGGCATACTTTTACTTGCAAACATCTGTTTCTCCAGTCTTTAAATATGCTACTTTAAAATAAATATATATATTTGTTTTAAAATGCTTGGCACAATTTCAGTTATTATTTCTGCAACAGCAGCATCAACAGCAGCTGTTTAAATTATTTCCCACCACGTCTTGTATTTACCAGATGGACCTGAAAATTGGAGACAAAACATCCAAGTTGACTTTTGCTGTGCCCAGCAGAAATATGCATGGCAGCATCACTAGATGTAAGCAGGATCGGATCTGACACATACAATTATTTTCTTCACTATCAGTGTATATGTGTCTTTAATTCTAAAAGACAAAGTAAAGTAAAAAAAAAAAATATATATATATATATATGTATATATATATATACAGGGAGTGCAGAATTATTAGGCAAATGAGTATTTTGACCACATCATCCTCTTTATGCATGTTGTCTTACTCCAAGCTGTATAGGCTCGAAAGCCTACTACCAATTAAGCATATTAGGTGATGTGCATCTCTGTAATGAGAAGGGGTGTGGTCTAATGACATCAACACCCTATATCAGGTGTGCATAATTATTAGGCAACTTCCTTTCCTTTGGCAAAATGGGTCAAAAGAAGGACTTGACAGGCTCAGAAAAGTCAAAAATAGTGAGATATCTTGCAGAGGGATGCAGCACTCTTAAAATTGCAAAGCTTCTGAAGCGTGATCATCGAACAATCAAGCGTTTCATTCAAAATAGTCAACAGGGTCGCAAGAAGCGTGTGGAAAAACCAAGGCGCAAAATAACTGCCCATGAACTGAGAAAAGTCAAGCGTGCAGCTGCCACGATGCCACTTGCCACCAGTTTGGCCATATTTCAGAGCTGCAACATCACTGGAGTGCCCAAAAGCACAAGGTGTGCAATACTCAGAGACATGGCCAAGGTAAGAAAGGCTGAAAGACGACCACCACTGAACAAGACACACAAGCTGAAACGTCAAGACTGGGCCAAGAAATATCTCAAGACTGATTTTTCTAAGGTTTTATGGACTGATGAAATGAGAGTGAGTCTTGATGGGCCAGATGGATGGGCCCGTGGCTGGATTGGTAAAGGGCAGAGAGCTCCAGTCCGACTCAGACGCCAGCAAGGTGGAGGTGGAGTACTGGTTTGGGCTGGTATCATCAAAGATGAGCTTGTGGGGCCTTTTCGGGTTGAGGATGGAGTCAAGCTCAACTCCCAGTCCTACTGCCAGTTCCTGGAAGACACCTTCTTCAAGCAGTGGTACAGGAAGAAGTCTGCATCCTTCAAGAAAAACATGATTTTCATGCAGGACAATGCTCCATCACACGCGTCCAAGTACTCCACAGCGTGGCTGGCAAGAAAGGGTATAAAAGAAGAAAATCTAATGACATGGCCTCCTTGTTCACCTGATCTGAACCCCATTGAGAACCTGTGGTCCATCATCAAATGTGAGATTTACAAGGAGGGAAAACAGTACACCTCTCTGAACAGTGTCTGGGAGGCTGTGGTTGCTGCTGCACGCAATGTTGATGGTGAACAGATCAAAACACTGACAGAATCCATGGATGGCAGGCTTTTGAGTGTCCTTGCAAAGAAAGGTGGCTATATTGGTCACTGATTTGTTTTTGTTTTGTTTTTGAATGTCAGAAATGTATATTTGTGAATGTTGAGATGTTATATTGGTTTCACTGGTAATAATAAATAATTGGAATGGGTATATATTTGTTTTTTGTTAAGTTGCCTAATAATTATGCACAGTAATAGTCACCTGCACACACAGATATCCCCCTAACATAGCTATAACTAAAAACAAACTAAAAACTACTTCCAAAAATATTCAGCTTTGATATTAATGAGTTTTTTGGGTTCATTGAGAACATGGTTGTTGTTCAATAATAAAATTAATCCTCAAAAATACAACTTGCCTAATAATTCTGCACTCCCTGTATATATAAATAAATAATTTATTTAATGTCATAATTAGCTGCTATACCAGTGAACGTGCCAAATATCTTGTGATAATCAAAGTTAAAGGGATACTATAGTGTTAGGAATACAAAGCTGTATTCCTGGCACAATATCTCCAAGGAGACATCTGACTGCTATTTTGGGGTCAAGAAGGAATTTTTTCCTAGTTTGTTGCAAAATTGGGGATTATTCCAGCCCTGGTGACTGAATAATCTAAATTTTATTAATGACAGGAGGTGAATATTTGCTTATCTTTCTTTACTGAACCTCCCAGCAGCAAAGAAATAGTTAACAGTAGTGTAAAACAATTCAACCAATCAGAGTGTATAACAGTATATATGATGTCATGAAGCTCCTCCCAAATCCTCTTTCTTGCTGTAGCCGACGGCACCCGATTATCAACCATGTAAACCATCACTATGAACTGTGGACTAAGTCAGAGTCCTGATGTAGTCAACCACGTAAACTTTCGACGGGTTGGTAAATCCATAAATCCCAAGCGTTCTTCACACTAGGGGAAGTAGAGAAAAACTATGAGAGTATAGGTTCTCATACTGGTTGAATGCGAGTTTATGGCAAGCATACTAGGACTAACACATTCCAAACATTTAATGTAAAATGATATTAAGTATATCCAATTCCTGGTTAAATTGTTGTGTTATAAACCTATGACAGATGATGTGTGAGTGTGTCTGAAACAGATCAACTAGGGACGAATACCTAGCAACTTACCTTAGGGTGGGTAGAAATAATACTGAAGACAAGAAGGAAGGGAAAATATTCGCCTCCTGTCGTTAATAAAATTTAGATTATTCAGTCACCAGGGCTAGAATAATCCCTAATTTTATGGCAAGACAGGAGGCTTCATATTTGCTGTTTTAACGCTCCTATATTATAGAAGATGCAGCATGTGGCATAGGTTTGAAGTAGAATGTACGAAAGGTAGACTCCCTGGACCAATCCGCAGATGACAGAATGTCTGAGAGGGAGTTACCCGCACGAAACGCTTAGGATGCGGCTGCTCCTCTGACTGAATGCGCACCAAAAGAGGAGTCAATGTCTGCTTGGGCTAGTATCCATCTGATCCACCGCGCGACGGTGGGAGCGGATACCGGTTTGTGTGGTTTGACATAGGACACGAGAAGGGGTCCTGTAGGAGGACGCAGAGCGCTTATGGCAGCTATATAGTGCCTTAAGCAGAGCGCCACACAGAGTGACTGTCTATTCGGAAAGTAAGGGTAAAAAACGGCGGCAGAATTGGTCTTTGTACACCTAGTGATGTGAAATCTAACGCCTTCCGGCGAGAAGGCTATAGCATGAAAATCAAATGCGCGAATGTCGGAGACCCTACGGAAGGATACCAGACATAGAAGTAAGGCCAGTTTGGCAGAGAGTTGACGTAACGTCAAATTCTCATTAAAGGGCCAAAATTCTAAAAGGGAAAACACCTGAGCGACATCCCAGAAATTGGAATATTTAGGAAGAGGGGGTCTGGCTAGCCTGATCCCTCGTAAAAGTCTACAGACTGAAGGATGTTTGACTATTGATGCATTGTCAATAGGGTTGTGGGCCGCAGAAATAGCTGATCGAAAAACATTAATTGATCTATAGGACTTGCCTTGGTCAAATAAGATAGATAGAAAGTTTAGGATAATCGTCAGAGGTGCTGAAAAGGGATCGGTATCCCTTTCCAAACACCAGCTGACCCATGTTCGCCATGCAGCGAGGTAAGCTCGTCTAGTGCCTGAGGCCCAGGAGTCCCATAGGAGAGTCTGAGCTGTCTCCGAAAGTCCCGAGACGTTCCAGGATCCCCTGAAACGGTCCAAGCTACAAGCTGGAGCCACCCTTGAAGGGTGAGTGGGTGACAGTGCCCTGCTGGATTCCTGAGGATGTCGGAGGATCGAGGTAGTAGAATTGGGCAATTCACAGACATTTCTAGCAGGGTTGGAAACCAAGTCTGTGCTCTCCATAGCGGGGTGACAATAACTATTGTCACTACTAAAGCTTTGACCCGGTAAAGGGTGCGTTGGATCATGGAGAAAGGTGGGAACACATAAGCTCCTGTCTCCGGCCAAGGGTGTAGAAAGGCATCGACTGCCCAGGACAGGGGGTCTGGAAGCCAGCTGATAAAGGCCTCCGTCTGGCGATTCAGCCGAGATGCAAACAGGTCCAGTGTAAGGGGCCCGCGAAGACAAAGAATTTGATAGAACAAGCGGGGGTCCAATTTCCAGTCGCTTACATCCCTCCAATGGCGAGAGAACCAGTCTGCGACTAGGTTGTCTGTGCCTGGAAGATATTCCGCTCTGATGGATAAATTCTGCTCTAGGCAGAATTGGTAGAGTTCCTTGGTAAGGTCGGACAGTAGTTTGGATCGGGAACCTCCTAGCCGATTCACATAGCGTACTGCAGAGACGTTGTCCATGTGTAGTACTAGTGAACAATTGAAACAATCTTTTGCAAAACTGCGAATCGCAAAAAAATCCTGCAATCAATTCTAGGCAATTGATGTGCAGCGCTCGTTCGGAGGGGGACCATAGTCCCCCAGTGGACCTGTCGGCGCACGTGGCGCCCCATCTCAGGAGACTGGCATCGGATTCCAAAATGAAGTCTGGTTGCGATCCGAAAATGGCTTTGCCATTCCAGGCTTCCATGTTGTGAAGCCACCAGTGAAGTTCTATCCGAACTTCGTCTGTTAGGTAGATGTATTGATCGTAGGAGGTGGAGCGGTGTAGGTAGTATGTCTTGAGCCGTTGCATGGCTCGGTAATACAGAGGTCCCGGGTAAATGGCTTGAATAGAGGCGGACAGTAGGCCTATAGTATGGGCCAGATCGCGTAGACGAATCTGGCGGGCTGATAGCAGTTTGCGAATATCTTTTTTATAGATTTGACCTTTGCGGAGGGTAGTTGTAAAATCGCCTGTACGGAATCTATCAGAAATCCGAGAAACTGAACCTTCTGAGAAGCGTTCAGTGCTGATTTCTGAAAATTGATCACAAACCCTAGGTTTTGTAGTAAGGCCGTCGTCATGTCTGTGTGTGTGCGTAGAAGATTTGAGTCTTGAGCCATTATCAGGATGTCGTCCAAATATATAATGGACCGAATCCCCTGTGATCGGAGCAATGCCATCACTGGTTTCATCAGTTTTGTGAAACACCATGGTGCGGAGCAAAGACCGAACGGCAGGCATGTGAACTGCCAGATTTCTTCCTGCCAGAGAAACTGAAGGAAAGCACGATGGTTGCGGGCAACCGGGACTGTGAGATATGCGTCTTTGAGATCGAATCTGGAGAACCAATCTCCCACGCAAAGGAGGTCCCTGAGTAGATGGATGCCCTCCATCTTGAAATGACGATACCTGATAAAGTGATTCAGGTCTTTCAAATTGATAATTGGGCGTAGGTCTCCAGTTTTTTTGTGGACCAGGAAAATGTTGCTGAGAAAGGTATGTGGGAACAGGGATTTCTCTATTGCCCCTTTTTTTAGTAATTTGTGCAACTCTGTTTGCAGTGTCAGATTGTCTGATGCGGACATGCATTGGTGTAGGTGGTGTGTCTTGGAAGGGAGTGGAAAGAAAATCTATTGTGAACCCTTGGACTGTGTGTAGGATCCATAGGTCTTGTGAAAGCAATTCCCACTGTTGGAAAAAATGGATTAAACGGCCTGCAATAGGTACATTTGAAAAAGGAAGGTTTATTACCTGAAGCAGTGAGCCCGCGTAAGGAGGCAGATCCACGTCCCCGGATAGATCCTCTATTGTTGAATAACTGCCTGTGGTAGGGTCGGGGTTGTCCCGAGTGCCAATAATTTTCTGAAGGGCGAGGCCTGTAGCCTGTGAAGGCAATTCTGCTGTTCGTAAGGGCCTCGAAAACGTCCAGCTCTCCCAGAAAAACGACCTGACTGGGGACGAAAAACCCTGCGCAAGGAGGATTGGGCCTTATTTAGGGTAGTGAATACCGCTACATGTTTGGAGAGATCCTTCATAAATGAATCGCCAAACAGCAGGCCATTGGCCTCTGGTCCCAGTTCCCGGGAGCTCAGATCAGCTAATTTAGCATCTAGTTTGTATAATGCCGCCCTGCGTCTCTCAGTGGACATAGCCACGTTTGCGTTGCCTAGGAAACATAAGGCTCTCTGGGCCCACTCTCTGACTGTGTTGGGGTCAAATTCGCCACTATTTGTAGCTTCGTCAGCTAGAATGAAAATCTGAATGATTGGACCAGCAATGTCCAGGAGTTTATCTTGGGCTGTCTTAAGACCCTGCTCAATGCCTTTGCGGGGATCTTTCCCCGTCTTATTGAGGAATGTCACAAATAGAGGGTCAAACTCTGGTGTGAGGGCCACCTTGTTTGGAATGGTTGGTCGAGGGCACTCGGCTCTGAGTTTCGCCCTGATGTCTTTTTCAAGTGGTTTACGTAACCACATTCTGCAAAATTTAGAAATATCGTCCGGTGGGGCCCATTCGGCCGACCGTGGATGCCTGATGACCCTGGGGTCGAAGAAAGCGACACCCGAAGCATCCAGAAGGATGTCTGAATCGGGTCCCTTCTGCATAGTTACTTTTGTATCTGATTCTTTTTGTGAAATGAAAGTCTCCTTGAAAAAACTTTGATGGGGTATCCCCTAGCACATTCGCCGAAGGGTCCTCATCAGAATAATCAAGGCAATAGTCCTCAACCCTATCGCCCCTGTGGGAGGTAGAGCCCTCTAAGGGATCGGAGATGGCGTGGGCGGGGTGAGTGACAATCAACTTTAGGGATAGTAGGGGATAGTAGGCCTTTCCCTTGCCCCTCAGGGCACTATAGTGCCAGGAAAACGAGCACTATAGTGGTCCTTTAAGAGGACTGCAAGAGCATAGTGCAGACTGCTCAATGAGGTGAAGAAGAATCCTAGAGTGTCAGCTAAAGACTTACAAAAGTCACTGGCAAATGCTAACATCCCTGTTAGTGAATCTACAATATGTAAAACACTAAACAAGAATGGATTTCATGGGAGGAAGCCACTGCTGTCCAAACAAAACATTGCTGCACGTTTACAGTTTGCACAAGAGCACCTGGATGTTCCACAGCAGTACTGGCAAAATATTCTGTGGACAGATGAAACCAAAGTTGAGTTGTTTGGAAGAAACACACAACACTATGTGTGGCGAAAAAAAGGCACAGCACACCAACATCAAAACCTCATCCCAACTGTGAAGTATGGTGGTGGGGGCATCATGGTTTGGGGCTGCTTTGCTGCGTCAGGGCCTGGACGGATTGCTATCATCGAAGGAAAAATGAATTTTCAAGTTTATCAAGACATTTTGCAGGAGAACATAAGGCCATCTGTCTACCAGCTGAAGCTCAACAGAAGTTAGGTGTTGCAACAGGACAATGACCCAAAGCATAGAAGTAAATCCACAACAGAATGGCTTAAACAGAAGAAAATATTCCTTCTGTCAGATTCCTGACCTCAACCCAATTGAGATGCTGTGGCATGACCTCAAGAAAGCGATTCACACCAGACATCCCAAGAATATTGCTGAAGTGAAACAGTTCTGTAAAGAGGAATGGTCAAGAATTACTCCTGACCGTTGTGCACGTCTGATCTGCAACTACAGGAAACGTTTGGTTGAAGTTATTGCTGCCAAAGGAGGTTCAACCAGTTATTAAATCCAAGGGTTCACATACTTTTTCCACCTGCACTGTGAATGTTTACATGGTGTGTTCAATAAAAACATGGCAACATTTCATTCTTTGTGTGTTATTAGTTTAAGCAGACTGTGATTGTCTATTGTTGTGACTAAGATGATGATCAGATCACAATTTATGACCAATTTGTGCAGAAACCCATATCATTCCAAAGGGTTCACATACTTTTTCTTGCAACTGTATATATATATATATATATATATATGTGTGTGTGTGTGTGTACAATAAACAATACACATGATCCAGCGCACTCTCCTATCTAATAAACAGCAACTTCAATGTTGACAGACTTTTTAGTTTTTTTTTAAGTTTTTTCTAAAAACACCTAATCTAGGCAAAAATTAATGGGGATTTGGTTACATTATATGATCATACATTCCATAAGCCTGCCACAACGTCAATGTACCCCATCTTTGGCAGGTCCTACTCTCACAGTCTAATGTCTGCTCTTATGAGATTAACCCACTTACTTGGGGGAAAAATTCCATCTGAGGCTCTCTGCAGTACAAGGCTAAATAGGGACCTGAGATGAGGCACCTGTAACAGGGAGGGGTGCAAAACCAAGGAGTTGGCTAGACTCCCAAATAAATATATATTTATATGAAACATGGGGGGGTGGTTGCACTCACCTGAACATGCTTAAATGGGGTGCTGCTGTGGGCCATATTATACAATAAACAATACACACGATCCAGCGCATTCTCCTATCTACTAAACAGCAACTTCAATGTTGACAGATTTTATTACAGTGATATATACATATATATTTATGTATGAAAAAAAAAGAAAAAAATGTATATAGATATATATATTATTTTGTTCTAAGTGTATTTTGATATTAATATCAAAATACACTTAGAACATAATTACACATATATAAATTTTTTTATTTTTTTTTATTTTTTATTTTTCATTTTTAATGTATTTATATATTTATTTATTTATTTTATATATATATATATATATATATATATATAAGTAATATCATTCTAAGTATATTTTGATATTAATATATATATTTATATCATTATATATTTATATTAAAATACACTTAGTGTACGTGTATGTAGTTGTATGTGCATATATACTTAGATCATATACATAATATATTTATATATATATATATATATATATATATATATATATATAATGATCTACGTATGTATTATTTTATTTTACACTATTTTTAACCTTTATTGAACTTTATTACAGGCAGCAGGGGGATTACCTGCCAATCCAGGCAGTCCCCCTGCTGGCACTGCTATGGACGGCTATTCCGTCCATGTGATCGTGAGGTCC